CTGTTTGGCTCAAACACTGCCAAAATCGACTAGCCGATGTTACACTTGAGTCTTTAGCTTTCACTATATAAACACCTCAATTTTCCACTCTCTCACCGATGTGGGACTAAATTAGTGGGATGTCGCATTTATACCAAATGTGACATCCCCCTAATTTAGTCCCACATCGGTGGAAGAGTGGAAAATTGAGGTGCTTATATAGTGTAAGCTAAAGACTCAAGTGTAACCAAATGTGACATCCCACTAATTTAGTCCAACATCGGTGGGAGAGTGGAAAATTGAGGTATTTATATAGTGAAAGCTAAAGACTCAAGTGTAACATCGGCTAGTTGATTTTGGCAGTGTTTGAGCCAAACAGTGTGTTACACTCGGTGAGTCCTATGGCTTGCACGTTCCAACGGGCCTGCAGGCCCGAGGCGTGACAAAATTCATGCAAAAGTTGTCTAAACAGTAAATGACCTCACAGTGAAAAAAAGATAATAGGTATATTATTATTAGCTAAACAAATAATGTCATACAAATAGTTTTTTATGATCAAGTTATAGCAAAATACTTGGATAATTTGAGAGATTAGAACCCTCTCATTTGTATAGGGATGTGGAAAAAGTGGGATAAATTTTTATAATTATCCTAATTTTATTTTCGATCAATGTTACATTAAACGCTGGGCGCTTCTACGCGTCGAACTTGGCGCCCAACGCTTAGTCGTCTAGGCGGGCGCCTAAGCGGTTTCTGGGCGTTTTTTATTTTTTATTTTTTTAATTGTGATATTTGAAGATAAATATATATATATACTCAATCAAAGATGCATAAATATTAAAATACCAATACTCTTAACTAAATTGCTTGGTTTACCAATTACAATAGCTCTTTGTATGTTTATACTTCTCAACTCAAATTATAAGTTCATCTCAACAGTGAAAAACTCATTCTCAACTCAAATTACTGTTAACTTATAAGTTACTATTAAGTTTAAGTTAACAATAAACTTAAACTTAAGTTTACTGTTAACTAAAATATTGTTAACTTAAGTTTAGTGTTTACTTAAACTTAAGTTTACCATCAACAAAAAACTTAATATTAACTTAAACTTAAACTTAAACTTAAGTTTACTGTTAGCTTAAACTTAAGTCTAACTTAAACTTAAACTTAAACTTAAGTTTACTGTTAGCTTAAACTTAATATTAACTTAAACTTAAACTTAAACTTAAGTTTACTGTTAGCTTAAACTTAAGTTTAACTTAAACTTAAGTTACTATTAACTTACACTTTTAAGTTTAAGTTACTGTTGTTAACTAACTTAAATAGATATTTAAGAAGTACTCTTTAACTTGTTAGTAGTTACAGAGATCAGGGGAGCTCGGTAGTGTTACAGAAGGCGCTAGGCAGACTAGGCGTTTGAGCGAGCGCCTAACGCCTAGACCCCTGAGCGTGCGCCCAGGCGTTTGACTATTTTTAAATTATTTAATTATAACAATTGATAAAAATATGTATTCAATTCATATAAATTTTCAAAAAAAGATAGCAATCTTAGTTCCACAATAAATCATGCATACTTAGATACTAAATAGCCAAAATAATAATTAACAAGGCTAGAACCTAAGATATTTTCTTTTTTTATTTTTAATTACAATAATTGATAGTGGATGTCAATGCTATAGAAAGCTTAAATACCGGACTGGTGTCTAGGCGGATTTTTTTCTTCATTTAAGTGGTGGTCGATGAGGTTTTGCTGAAGGTCGGAGGAGGTAGTGGAGGTGAAGTGGTGGTCGATGAGGTTTTGCTGAAGGTCGGAGGAGGTAGTGGAGGTGTTCATATTTGGAGGTTAATAGAGTTTGGAGGACGTGTTGCTGAAGGTCGGAGGAGGTAGTGGAGGTGTTCATATTTGGAGGTTAATAGAGTTTGGAGGACGTGTAGACTACAACACATAAAATCACAACCAATGCCTACAGGGTGCAATCCACGTAAGCAGACAATGCTCCCTTAAACGCTCGTAAAATCTGGATGGACAACCTAAATACCGCCTAGACGTTAGGCGCTAGTTAGACGGCTTAGGTACCGGCGTACCGCCTAGGCCTAGGCGTACGCCTAAGCGGACTAGGCGGAGGTTTTTTAAAATAGTGTTTTCGATACAGCTCTAGTTGACTAATTCCTTGAATATTTATCTTAGTTTACATTCTAATTAACCTATAAAATTTTATGCCATGAATTATCTCAGTCCTAGTTTTTAATTCTATTGACTAACTCCCCCTTACATATTTTCCATGTACCATACTGCACCCGCACTGTTGCCATGTAACATAAATCCGGCCTTGTAGGCGGTCAAATATGCAAACAAGATTAACCCAATGCAAAATGAGGCTCACCACGAGCAATTTGGTCATTTGACATGACCGGTGGACTTATCGAGCATCAACAAAGTCCACAAGATTTGATAAGGATATGCAATCCAATTCCCAAGTCAAAATGAGCTTAACTTATTTCAAACTCCGCTTAAAGCAGACTTGGGTCGTGGAGTTTATGGTCGCAGCGATAAGAGCTCCACTTAGCAATTGTCCTTGTGATGATGAATAAGGGTTAACCTTACGGAACACAAACCAATTCTAACCACGTGAAGTTTAATCAAGTCCAAGTTCACATAGCTAGAGTGCTGCACGGAGGACAAGTCAAGCCCACCCCGCGGACCACAAATCATGCTCAACCGCGAGTTGCCACAGTGCCCCACAAAGCAGTTTTAACCTCAATCCGGCGAAGCTATATCACGTTAAACCCCGCCGAGATACAGTGCCCCACAGAGCACAAATACACTTAACCCAGCGAAGCTAAGGTAGAATAGCCTCGCAATGGTCACCAAGTTCTTTAGGCGGCGAGTTAAACTGATGTTGACATGTGCTAAGAGGACAAATCACTATACCCGCTACAGTAACACACCCAATACTACTCCCTTAAAGATTGTGTTGAACTATCCTTGCGACCTTATAAAGCTGCGTCATGGAGGTAACACAGCTGCTACAACCACTCTGCAATCAATTTGATAGCACTGCGGTGCTGACAACAGTAGCTCCGCCGATTGAAAAGTTTTGATAAGTGACTGAATAGTACTACACTGCAATTAATGCAGTCATGGCGGTGCCAGTGTTAGCTCCGCGATTGAAGCTTGCTCCGCATACCCCTCCAAATAACCTAAAAGTACACCCTTATCTCCACCATTTCAAGGATTCACTCTTGGCTCATCCTCTTGGCTAGGGTTTCTACTGGCGGCTGCCTTCGTTATCTTTGCCCTAAACGAGCCCAGTGACCCGAAGTTCAAGCTCTTGCAAACAAGAGTTTCTTGCCTTCATTGGCAATAGTTGCTTTATCCGAATGCTTTTGATTTGGTGTTCTTCACCATTATTACTCCTTTTGGGTCTTTGGAGGTGATCTCTCCAAGGGAGACTATACTTCATTGGAGTTTAGCTTGTCATCCAAAAACAACATTTTTAGACGAGTTGGAGTTCTTTAAATAAAGCTTCTCTCCTACCAAATTCCACAACAAAGACAGATAATCTCAACTATTCAAGCATCAACGTTCATGTGCTCAACGGAGCCAAGATCTAGTCTCTTTCGGCATATTTCTCCAAAATCTCAAATTTGTAATTTTGGTTTTGAGAGTGAAGAAGTGAGCAATTGTAATCTTTCAAATATATCAATAAATTGCTTTGTTACCTAGATATTTCTAATTTGAATCGTACCCGTACCCGACACATACCCATACTCAAATTCTTCGACACTCCTCGTAAGGCATACATTTATTTGGGCATGTACTAAATAATACAGTGCATGTTTTACTTTAGAAATTAAAACACTTGTCATACATTTTTCGGTTATATATCCTCCACTTCATATCCACTTCTTGAAACTCGTTAGATATAGATCAGATTCCGAATTAAGATTTTGAAGGATCGTTTCTAGTGATTTTTCCAATTTATAATCCACATAATAAAAGAAACATAAAAATGTTATAGGAATTTTAATTTTCATCCTTGTTCTATTAAAAGTTATAAATTCCAATATATAATATATGATTATATAAATATTTATACAGCCGTGTCTCTGTACCCTATCTTTTACAAATTTATCGTGTCTCATACCCATACCAGTACCGATACACGTGCAACATAGAAAAAATGTGAACTTTTTTACCATAAAACAGGCCCAAATAAGTCTAGTATAATCAAACCATATTATGTGTCTCTGTCTACAAATGTCATACATGGGTACAAGATCTGCTTTAATTCTAGATGATTTGTCGACCTAGATAAACAAATGCAAGACATGCTAAAACATCATTACGACCACCAGAACTTGCTAGAACAAACACAACAGTCAACATATATCATGTATCAAACAAACAATGCATGAAACACAAAAGAATACTAATATACTATGTACCCTCTTAACCTAGGTTGGTAGGGTTTAATGGATCCAACATGAGATCATTGTAATAAAATGCGAAAAAAACCTAATGCCAGAGGGAATATAGACATGCCAGAGGGAATATAGACATACCTCTGAAACCTTAGGGTAGCAGGCTTTATCATTCACACAGGCAAGATATTGACAGGGCAAGTAAGTACCCAGAGAAGCTTGATGAAAATATGCTGCCCAATGACTGGTAGATATTGAATTCTCAGAAGACAAAGGTACTGAAACAGGGCCATCAACCGTGGAAATTAACAATACGGAAGCCAATAGTTTTGACACCTGCATTAAGAAATTGGGGGTTTTAGTAAGTTCCCAGATTAAAGGCAACAGTAGCATATGTTTAACAAGTGAGAGTATAAAGCATATTCTAAATTTGGAGTGTTGATTCTCAACTAGATTATGCCAATCCTTCAGCAATCAAGGAAGATAAAGGGAAAACTGCTTCATACCTTCTCAAAAAGAGAAGGCAGCTCCCGGCTAAGTATAAAGGCCCTTGCTATCCAAGGAATAATATCAGGCATCTGGATATTCGCAAGACTGCAACATTTCGTCCTGTAAAATAAATAATGCATTAGAGAATTGTCAAATTACAATGCCTACACGTAGCATTACAAATCTCAGTAGCTGTTTATCACCTAGAATGCTCTGGATTACAGTCCTTTAAGAAAAACCAGCTCATATTATATAATATTGCAGCTCGCTCCAATGGAAAGATATCTCTTGAAACCTCTCCCTGTGTGAGCTCAATCAAACAGGAATCACTAATGTTAGGACACCTCAGATTCTGGTTGAACATAACGGAGATGCATTGCCAAAATCCATCATGTACTTCATGTGCTTTACTTTTTCGGCAGTAAATTCCTTTACATTTTGCTGAACAAGAAAAACAACAAAAAAGTTTATATGCAAGTCAAACATTATTCACCATAATGGATGAGACAATATTTCATAGCAAGAGATAAGAAACATCACCATAGATAGAAGTTATTACCTATCTTCAAACATAATTGCAGTTCAAGACGTTTACGATAACATTCCCATTTTAGATAACTAATATTCTGCATACACCCATCTACCATCGCCTTTGTAAGAAGGCATCTCCAACATTTTAGGTTGTTTGGTACGCACTCTTCTCCGCATGAAAATTCAGTGGAAAAGTTCCCATTTCCTTTAGCTTCTGAATTTTTATGGCTCAGAGTCTCATAAGAAATATCATCATTTGCACAAGTAGCATCATTGTTGTCCACTTTACCAGCCGCACTTGTGCTTTTATTACGTGAATTTCTCTTGCTTACACTAGTTTTTGGTTTCATCTCAGGATTCAAATCTTGTTCCTTCTGTAAACATTTTGACCGAATCCGAGAACTTTTCTTGATTCCCTTTTGTAGGTTTGATCCTTTGCTTTCAATGTTTTCCAGATGCACTTGTTTAGCCTGATTAACATTGAGATTTGGAGTCAAAGAACAAATGCTACATTCAGGCAGTCTAACGTCCCCAAAAGATGGAGGCCTTTTGCCATCATTCAGAACATTTTGTTGGGCCTCTTTTATGTTGTTCTTGTCCAATGATGTGCTAGATGCATAGGTCTTTCTACAGAGGTTAAAAGAACACTTCATGTCATTGCAAGTCAGTTTATCTAAAGCTTTCTTGTATACGCGTACAGCATCAGATGACAACTGAACAGCGGAACCTTTCTCAGGGCAATTTCTGGAGACATCTCCAAACTGCATGTCAATGGAAACATCAAAAGCTAACTTGCAACGCTTGCAGGAAATAATTAAATCATTTTCTAGTAAAAGTTTTCTGGCCTTGTTCATCTCACTTTCAGCCAATTCCCAGAATTGGTTTTTGCTATAAAGTTGACCTGGCAAATAGAAATCCAAAATCCATATAACAATTAAACACGATAAAAATGAGAAAATTTGGTTACCAAAGCAAGAAAGGACAAGAGAACCTACCTAATGAAGAAGTAAAGGCAATCTGAAAAATGGGTAAATTTTGCGAAGTGGATAATCTCTTTCCAGTGAGGTACAGAACTTCAGCTTCAGCCCCATTTCCAATTGACTCATTAATAACCCCAACCTGGATATAAAATCAGTCAGTATAAAGGCTTTCCACAGGATTTCTGGTTCAAAATGCTGAGCTCTTGGATTTTACGAAAAACAAAGGACTTCAAACATAGACCTGTAAAATGCTCTCAAGGTAGCACCTGAGAACACTCCATGGAGTAAGGATAGAATTCTCCAAGTCTTTGAATTTACTGATATCTGGCCAGAGTTCAGTTGCCACTGATCTAATTATCTCAAGGTAATTGATATCCTGCCTATTCTGATTTGCAGAGGCAACAGATTCAGAAAACCTGTGTTCAAATGAATAAATGAATTTCCTCTGTAGTGTTTTTCTTCGCAACGAAAGGGCCATTCTAGCATGAGATAGTGCCTAAAGAAAATAAGATGCTTCATTAAGAAGGAACAAAATTTCACTGACATCTGATAGACAACTATTAAGGACAGTGACATGATGAGTTAATGACTTGATCGAGACATTAACAAAGGATTCTGTTTCTGATGAGACTTTTCTAAATGAATGAAAAACGAGTATTACAAATGACCACATAACAAGTTAAAGAGTTCATAATTACAACCCAAATCGTCAAAGAATTTAGCGTCTCTGGTATAATAATGTCTTTGGTATGTACAAGTAGGATTAAGCGTACATACTGTCAGCCTAGTCAAGCGCAAGAGACATGAGAAATTCAAACTTTTCCTACTCAAATTTTCCAGCAATTCCCTCCAAAAAATTGGATTTCAAGGATGAAAAAGAAAATAAGGAAGTCAAATAAACAGAAGGTCGAGCAGCTCGCTACTTAGAATTGGGTTCCCGCTCTCAGTGACCTCTATTACGAGTTTAACCTCATTCCCCTCAATGATTTTAGGACTACACTCCTAGAGATACCCTTTGTTAAATTGGACTTTAATAAATCCAGGGTCATATAAGGTTTGACAACCATTTTTATATCACATTCTTTGTTAGAGATTCTATAATGCAATCATAAAAGCTTATTTATGTAAAACTCCACATGTGAAAGAAATTTAAAAATATATCTGCAAGAAACACTAAAGGAAATCATTTAGTATTTCACTAATATTTTCAAATTCATAGATATCATTGATTCATTATAACATGGATCAACTTTACATACAAGAATCCGAAGAAAAATCTACCAAACAGCAGACCATTAAAACACTTTTGGGTGGTTGGGCAGTTGGGGTGGAAGTGATTGAGATTTGGATAAATTAACAATAATTATGCAGTGCCGGGAAAATAGCCATACAAGCACCCAAAAAGAGGTTATATTATTTGTTGCCATAGCTAGAATTTGCTACAAGCTCCCTACCTTATTGCATCCAAAAAAGTCTTAGAAGAAATGGGAGGATTAATTAACTCCATCAAAATCAAATGGAAGGTTTTACCAGTTAACTAACAAAAACAAGCGGTAAAAAGGAGGAAAGGCCATTTTCATCTTATTCATGGGCCAACCAGCCAGCAGAGAAAACATCATTGAAATGACGGAATGAAGCATATAACCTGACTAAAGAATGGCAGAGACTTCTACTGCTCTCTTCTTAAAATAATGTGAGAATAAGAGAGGCTAATAGTCACACCAACATCCCCATGGCTGGCTACAAGTATAGCCAAAGAAAGATGAGACGGGACGGACTGTCAGAGGCCGCAGCGGGCCTACCAGAGGAATGCCCGCCCCCGCTAGCTAACATAGATATCTATTCTCGGTGCACATATTCTCTATTTCGAATCTCTTCCTGACTAGGCCAGGCCGAAATGCCAGCAATGAATCATGAGGTGATGCGAACAAACCACACCAGAAGCTGAACAAAAATTTACGGCCTCTCGCAACCTAACATCAGCCTTCTATAATGAAGAACTAAAATGAAGATGAAGGGGATGTGATGCAAACTGAAAAAAGCATATGAATTGGCACTCAGATGATCCTCGCATCAATTTCAAATTTCTAAGAAGACGAATGATACCTGTCAAAGCACACATACTAGGAGTAGCATAAGCAGTAGTCATGGTCACAAGTACTAGCAGTAGCATAATTAGTAGTCATTGTCAAAAGTACTAGTAGTAGTATAAACAATAGTCATTGTCGCAATGATTACAACCGTATACAATAGCCAAAAAATCCAGCTCTAGTGGCCTAAGTAGAATAGAGGAGAAAAACTATGGTGCATAACATAGTTAAAGAAGCTGATCCTGTCGAATTGGACCGTTGACATTGCTAAATCAGAATTAGGTCAAAAAAAAGCATGAATTTATGTGATAATCAACCCAGCCATGGTGATAAAGAACAGCCACAAGGAAGAGAAAATAGGTGGAAATATAATAACAAACTATTGTGGGAAGAAACTGACGTATGTCAAGTTCGGTTCAAGTGTAAAAAAATAGGTGCAGGTAATAAGCTTTTCAGGCAAATGTATAAGTGCCATCATTTTGATGCAAACACACTAAAATGAAGCACTGGTCAAATTTTGGTCAATATGAACCCTTCATAAGCTGAGCTGTTGATGGCGTTGAAAGGACTCGATGCTATGGCACAGTGTTGAGTGACATGGTACAGCTCTAACATCATTACTTAGACATTTTGAGATTTTTTTTATTCAGCAATGGACTACTTCAATCAAATTTCTGAATACTGAAGCGAAAAATGTAGATTAGATCATAAAAAATACACATCGCATTTAATTTAAGCTTGCTTACGAATAAAACCTTCTTTAAGCCTAATAGTTAATTTGTAAAACATACAATATATCTAGTGTCAGGCATCTAATAAACTAACCACTGACTAACGGTCAGGCAAGACATAAGTAATTATTTGTCACTGATCTCATGAATAAGATACACTCAGGAAATCAGGGAACCAGTCTGTGTCTTTTAAGCAACAAATTATTCAACTTTTTACAATTTTTTTAAAGTCATTGGATAGATAGATTATGTAAGATTTGAAAGCAAGATTTTATTCATTGCCAACCATTCAGCTGAAACTGACCTCTACAGCCGAATTGGCTAATAATGACTAGCACAGACTAATATTGCCTCATAATGACCAATGGAACAGGAGATCTGACACAGGACCCCAGAATAGAAATATAGCTTTTACAAGTCCATCAATTGCAAAAAAAAAGGCATATAGATGATGATGCAATTTCCTCACTAACTAGACCAAATTTTGAAGATCCCTAAATTTTATGAATGCTCCAGAAAAGGTGCCTAAAGATAATCTAAAAATAAATGTAAATCATAATGCTATGATGAATGAACATACAAGACGCATTGGCAACTGGGAGCAAAGTAGTAACTATGGATAAAACTATGCTCGAAGACAGAATTACTTTAACAACTGTTAAAGCTGGTGACAAGAATTGTTGCCATTTCAAAACTTTGCGAATGTTGGATCAATAATTTTACGATTATTGGAAAAATCTCACCTTACAACAGAAAAGGGGAAATATTTGGGCCACAGTAGTGAGGGAACATGACTGTGGAGACTCTGTGACTGGCTATTGGTGGACAGCTGGGCAGTTGTTCAGGAAAAGGGTCATTGGGACTGCAGGAAACAGAGAGCATGGGATCAAAGTCTCTTTCACAGGAAAAATGGAAGAAAGGAAAGAGAGGGGACAGTGTGCTACTGGGTAGGCTACACGAGAGGCCACCTAGCCAACAGAAGATTGAGAGAAGGTGGAGTGAGTGACAGAAGCAAGAGAAAAGGAGGAAGATAAGAAGGGATAGGGTTAGGTCTAACACCAAGAGAGAGTCGCTTTCATTCATAATTTTCATCAAATCACACATGTGAAATTCATCGCAATCTGAAAGTTAGCAAATCTGTATATATTGAGAAATAAAAGGGAAATGAATGAATAAAAAGTTTGTAACTAAACTGACTTATTGCATGTGTCAATAATTGGATCTGGAATTGCCGAATGGCAAAACTCTTGATATCCATACCAGTAAAGATGATAGAAACTGACAACAGAACATGAATTTGTAGATGAAAAATACATTATCATACTTTATATTGCGAACATTTTCGAACAAATATTATAAATCCCTATTTCTGGAATACTAATATACTATTTAAAATTTTCCATTAGACCTACTGCGTAGATTGTAAACAATGCAGCAAAATTACAGGAGTAAAATTAGACAATTATGATTCAATGCTCTTTTTTTTTCTTTTTCTTTTTTTTGCATAATGCAACTGACCTCAAAAAAATGTCCCCCTGAGAAAAGCCTCTCAGACAAATCATAGTAAAGATATCCGGCAATTGAAGCTGATTGACTGGACAAAGGTACCTACAACAACCAGATACCGAAAGATGATAAGATAATACTTGAGAAGTCAACATCATGATTTATAAAAACTATGTATTTTAGACAAATCTGCTAAGGAAATAATAATAAACTTACATCTGCGATTAGAGCTGATGCCACCTTTTTCACTTCGTCAACAGTGACGGTACCAAAAAGTCTTTCACAACAGTATAGGCTTACTTCAGGTAGCACGGAATCAGAAAGTGAAAACTTCTGGCAGAAAGCCACTAGATATGATGGATAATCTTTCAGACAAGTCATCCAAAAGTCAACAGAGTTAGCATGACTGTCAAGGCATTGTGAAATATGCAAAATAGCATCCTCATTTACAGGAGAAGCACAAAGTGAGTGATTTAGCCTTCTCTCACTCCAGAGAATAGCCAAACATTTTTCTATGGGGACATTTTCACGCTTTAGAAATATGATGATCAGCTTACAGATGCCAAACTGAAGTTCCCAGCAACCCTAAAGTTGTGTAAAAATAAAATGTTACTATCTGCAGAAGATAACAGTAAGAGATATTGAGTAGGTAACATGCCAAAGGAAGCTGAATACAAGATTAAACATGCCCTACCTTCATTGACAATAAATCAACAATACTACACAATAATTGCATTGTACTTGTTGCAGCCAACTCAAGGTAGCCATTATTGAAACCCTGACCTTGGATGTCTATTCTAGACCATATCCCCAATGCTTTATGAACATTCTGCAGGATTACCTGTTACAGAAACAAAAGATATAAGATTTCACTCCATTTTACTCTTATTTAAGAGAAGCAACGCTGCAAAAAAAAATTCCCAGTCATCCAAGGGAACTACTTTGCACATATAATGGAACATAGTTTCGTTATCCTACCTCATGATCTTGCTTTTCTTCTTGACTGCACTGTGCAGACAAAATATAAATTAAGGCCAACTGGTTGTAGATTAAAGCATTTTCTGCTGAAGGAATGCTAGGTATATCTTTCTGCTACATGAGTAAACAAAATGCCAAAAGCATGTTAAGCACAACAAAATACCTGATTATGGAGAAACGAAACAAAATAATAATCCAATACAGCTAAAGAGGAAACTCACAAGAAGGGAAATTGCATCATTGAGACACTTAATACAGTCGTTTAAACCTTCTATACCGCGAGCTCTAAGAACTCTTGCCTTTTTAACAAGAATCCTTGATCTTTGAAAATTATATTCTTCTGTAGTCAATACATCATTCAAGAGCGTATCTATAACTTTGATTTGCATCTTCTGGCATAGATCTATGTTACGAGATTCCATTAGTCCATATGCTAAAAGCTCCTGCAGAAATTCAAAATGGAAGTCAGACAACTTTCAATGAAGTATACAATTAGAAGTTACCGGAACCACCTGCTCTAGAATCTTGCCCAATGTTTTCTTTGACCATGTTGAACAACGACTCAACAATAATGAATAGAGATAAGGAGCTTTCTCGACAGCCTCAACATTCTCAAAATCCTTGCACAACATCTAACGTTCCAAGTAGTTAGACTTGAATGCCAGTGGCATAACAAAAAGGTATCAAATAGAGCAAAGGCAGTACCTTAACCCATTGTTTCACCAGAGCCAAAGAACCAGATAAAGTAGGAAACACATCTTCTTCAGAAGATAACTCTGCTAGACTCTTCACAGCAATTTTATGGGCATTAGCAGCATGACATTTGTGAAGAACATCCACTATCCAAGCACACTTTTCAAATGCATCCACAATGACACTTTTTATTTCATCCTCTGCAAAACCATCAGTAACACTGTGTTTTGGACTTTCAAAGTACATCTTGCAAAGGAGCTTGACATGTGTCCTTATCGTTTTGCAACGCAATTGTAGAGCTACTGAAGCCTAAAAAGAAAGCATAATTACATGTAAATATAAGGAGCGTTGGGAGCCTCAATTTGAAATAACTTAAAAGTTTGAACGGATTAAATTTTACGAGGAATGTGAAACACTTAAAGAACTGGGAATAGTGAGCTCATCCTACAGATACTAGAGAATACTTTCCGAGGACATAAATATAAGGCAATCTCATTAATTGCCATACGTGCACAGCTAAGCCTAATAATTCTCTCTTTCAAAATCTCTGTTAATTTAAAAAGAAAATAATAAAAAAGGGAAGAAAAGAATGATGCTAAAAAAATAATTCAAAATATTTTGAAACAACAGTTGTTTGAATATTTTGAAATATTCAAAATCGTTGTTTGAATAACATCAGTTGTTTGAATCTACTGAATCAACATCGTTTAGAATAATCAGAACTCAACATTTACCAGATATAATTCTGAACTTTCATGATTAAAGCTATAGTTGTTCACTTGTTCTAAACATGAACTAAAAGAAAATTCCAGAATTCATGCTGGGGACTGTAAAGGTGACAGTTTAGAAGCTAAGAAACAACATAGAAGAATTGAGACCAGAACTCAGGACAGGAAGAGTATCATTAAATTCACCACTTGTTAATAGATGGATCGCAGGTAGATATGCAGCGCTATCACCTAAAACTACCAATTTTCCCTTCAATATAGCTTTGCTTTCATTTAGCCTTCCAAACTTCTGACCAATGAAACAGTTACACGTCTCCAAAAAACAAATACAAATGAAACCAAACTTATTGCACTTAGACACAACTAATATACAGTACAAGTAAGGAAAACCACCATAGTTAGAAACTGGTAACTGTTCATTACAAAAATAATGCTAGTGAGGCTAAATAAATAGTGTTAAGTCCTAAAATAATCAAATTGCTGCTACCTCTCTCAACTGCCCAGAATTGTATAGTGAAGCCCCAATATTACCGAGTGCTGAAATTAAATACTTTAGTTCTTGAGGCTCAATCCATGCACTTGAAATAATCCTTTTGAAGGAGGAAAGGCTTTTCTGGAATAAAAAGAGAACATTAAGCTGGAAATAAAAGCTAACAAAGTGTTTCACGATAAAATAGGAAAACAAACATATAAGAAAAGTCAACCTTGTGGTTTGCACAAACAATAAGTGAATTCTTCAAAGCTGAAACTGCTACTTGGAGCAGTGTTTTGCGACTCCCAAGGAGCCTTTCCTTGTCGCTTTCAGATGTTCTGCTGCATCTATAAGTAGACATGGCGATAGCAATCACCATTAGTACTTCATTAATATTGTATCCTGGCTTTTATCAATAGAGGCTTCAAAACCTAAACTCTCACAACAAGGTCCACACAACAGCATAAGCATAAAATGGGACATGCATACATCTCACAAAAGAATAGGGATGGACTTACTCAAAAGCAGCAAGAACGAAATCACAAAACTGATGAAATACGTCTTGCACATAGGTCATGTTATCAGAATGTCTGGCAGACCTCTCTTGTGAAGAACAATTTTCCCACGTTGCATTTACATGTTCAACTAGCACCAAGCATAAATATTCCAAGGCATCTAAGTATGATAATATAGAGACATTTCCATGTATGTGCTTGGAGGGCTTGCTCCCTAGAGGCTCTAAAGCAGCAAATGACAAAGCACTTTCTTTCTGAGAAAGTACTTTGTTACTATGGATGGAGGTATCAAAGTGTGTAGCTAAGGTATCCAATGCATGAGTCAGACGTGGAATTTTCTTTCCATTGTCAAGAGACGTAAAAAATGGAGAGGCATCATTTCTCTCAGCGTTGCTCAACTTAAAATATAACCCAGTGCCATAAAGGAACAGAATCGAGGCCATAGAAGGTGAAACCTGGAGAACAAAAATATCATAACATTAGATCCATCAAATCAAAAGATTATGACTAGCATCCTCGAAAGATAATAAAAAAAAGATTAACCACCTGAAGAAAATCACCTCCATATCTATGTAGTAGTTGTGCAGCGCCTCTGCGGATGTCAATACTAGTATAGCGTATGCTATTAACACAATATGCTACAAATTCAAGTGATGCATTTACATATTTCACTACACCGACCTGCAAAAATAGTCCAAATTATGAATAAAAGTCATTTTGTAATCACACTTAAGGACATGTCCAGATGAAGTTAGATATCATTACTAGGAGCACTGATCTCAGAAAAAAGAAAAAAAGGAGTAATGTACAACTCAAACTAAAATTTACACATGATAGAATGAACGAAATGTGGAAGAGTAGGATTCATGAAGCCAACCACAAAAAATTAGGGATTAAGGCTTTGTTGTTGTAGAAAAAGGATGAAATAAAGTGCAACTGTTCCTTGCATTCAAGTAAATGATCATTGAAGTTAATATTAAATTAAGTGATAAGCCATGAAATAAAATGAAGATGCATGCACTTCAAAAAGTTAAATTGTTCTGGGCTTGCTAACTGAAGTTGCCCCAAAATATTTAATCCCATAATATAAATCTGCAGCGAATTTCACCTCCAGCAAGATCATAAAATCCAAGTTTTTTTCCAACAATATCAGAATAATTTATCGAACTGAATCTTAAGTTCAGAAGCTCCCATCAGGGGTGTGCATAAGTCAGGTGGGATTTGAGATATTTCGTACTCAAACCTGAAATTTTAGGCAGGTTTGTGAGAGGTCTAAATCCACCTATCAGGATTCAGGTGGCTATGAGTTGTGTATTGTTTTTCGGGTTAGTTTGGATCAAACAATGTCACATGTACAAGAAGGTGCCTACTGTGATACTGTCAAGTGCAATAAGGCACGTCTAAATAAGACCAATGAGGTGAAGGTTTAGTCCATGATTTCATTGTGTGTATCCACCAACTTTTTTATACCTTGATTTTGTTTTGATATTTGTGCTGTCATGTGATGTACCTCTCTCCTCTCTCCTCTCTCTCTCTCTCTCTCTCTCTCTCTCTCTCTCGTCTCCATCCCTCTGCCCACCCCCTCCCCCATGCCCTCCCTGTCTCTCTGTGCTGGCATTGTGTGTGTATCCAACAACTTTTTATCCGCCTGATTTTGTTCTAAGAGATTTGTGATGGCATGTGATGTACACACTCCTCCTTCCCGCGCCCACCACCTGCATCCCCCCTTCTCTTTCTCTCTCTCTCTCCTCTCTCTCTCCTCTGCACTCCCTCTCCTCTCATCTCACTCCGGTCTCTTTCTCTTGCTCTCTCTCTCTCCTCGTTCCTCCTCTCTTTCTCATCTCTCTTCCCTCTCTCTTCTCAGATCACTCTCTCTCTTCTCTCTCTCTCTCCTCTCTCTTCTCTCTCCTCTCTATATTATATATATATATATATATATATATATATATAGTATATATATATATATATATATATATACACACACACACACACACACACACATACGCGCTCGCGCGCGTACACGTACATGTGTGTGTGTGTACACACACACATATATGTATATATATGTGCACGCACATATATACGCACACACATATATGACACACACGCGTCACATACAAGAAGGTGCCGTCTACCAAGTACAATAAGGTGCACCTCCATAAGACCCATGAGGTGTGGTGAGATGACTTGATGACAGCATCCAATTCTCCAAATTAGCTTCTTCTTTCCACTTCTCCTCTCCTCAGTACTTTCTCATTCTCTCCTTTCTACTTGAGATTGTGATGGCATTATATGGAAGCTGAAGGGTGGAGGAACTATTAAAAACACACCCTTTTATTTATTTTTATCAGTTTGTAGGGACTTATGAAACTGTTTCGGCGAATTAGGCCACTTAGTAAAACTGAAACAGCCTAAATCCGTATTCTTTTCAGGAATATTTGTTCTTTAGTCAAAATATGCCACTTTTTTATATCTATTTGCAAGTGTTGCGGAAATAAAGAATCTCCTGGCCCAACCAGAAATAAGAAAGACTTTATTACTGAATGAGGGATAATGGAGTGAGAATCAAAGATTTAACCCATTTAAAACCAATTGATTATTGTAATCTTATCATTGTCTAGATGGAAATAAGAAGAATCGCAATGTTTTTGTGAGTCATTAACCAACCAAGAGGGTCAAGAATCAAGATATATTAAAGGGTAAGTTTGTCAATTAACTCATCATCATGAATTTTCAATTTTCCTTGATCTTTCAGTTTGGTTTGGGTTAACTCTAGCCTCTAGTCAACCAACTACATCTTCACAAGATCAAAACCTGATTAAGTTCATTTGCCTTAACCTTAACATGCCGCCAAAACCTTGATGAAAAGAAACCAAAAAGTGATCAAATCCTTCAAGCTGATCTATGTGAAACAACACATGATATTATTTCTATGGAAAAAAATAAATACAGAATTGTATTCTTCTGATAGCACTTAGTATCAAATGTAAAATACTGACAATTTATAAAATAGATCCTCCAGCAGTTGAGAAATTTAACTGCAGATATGGAATATAGCAACTAATTTTGCTAGTCAACCGGCTATACTGTCAAAGTTATGGAAGGTGATAAAAGCATGCAACTGAAAGTGACCTTCTATGAAATGTCTACTCCTTATCTGCCTAGTTTGCCTAAGTTAAGGCTCACTTTGGCAAACATAAGATAAACTAGTTCTTTTCTAAACTAGTTAAAAAGTAAACTAGGATGCGGGTGGATCAAAAAAGAACTAGTGTAAGGCCAAAATTTGGCCTAGCAAAACTAGTTCTAGTCTTGGCCCAAATTTTGCCAAACTAGGATTAATACTTTGGACCAATATTATCTCCACTTGGCCTTGTTTAGTTGGTTTGCCAAACACTGCCTAAGAGTAACCCGAGTTCAGCCATAATAAGTCATAATAAGTCATACTTGATTTTCCCTAATGGACAGACCTCAAAACTTGATTGGATGTATCATAGCCCAGCTTTTTGCCTAAAAGTTGATCTTCCCTCATAGGAGATGTCTATCTCTTATTGCTGGAATATGTTTGTAAAAGCAGAACTTGATTTCAATCGAGTTGAAGCACAAAATGCTCAAACAGACAAAATCAGATAGATAGGAGCAATGAACCAAATAGATGCCCTGGAGGCTCAAGAGATTGACAAAGAATAATCACCTCCACAATCCATTAAATGAATGTTTGAATTAAATTGGGCGGGAACTTTACAATCCTTGAAAAGGATGGTTTTGAATTGAATCTGAAACCAAGACCAATCTTACAAAGAAGCCGGTATATCAGAGTCTTCTGATTGGAAGTCACACATAGAAGTGTTGATCTCCAATAAGTCGTAGACAATTAGCGTTTATGTTGTAAGAAGGCCTTAAAATTATAAATCAAAACTGAAGAGGAGATCTCACAACAACTTGTATCTTCATCGTAGTTTCACCTCATAAGAATGCAAATAGAACAATGACGACCATTGCATAGTGTAGAAAAGGTCACATTAGTGTAGTTGAAAACATAGGGCCAAACACTTGCCACACATAAGCAAATTCACAGAAAGATCAATATAATAACAGTAGCAGCAAGAAAGCATTTATCCCAAATTTTTGGAGTTGCCTATAGAAAAATTTATATATTATTTAATTTTTCTAACTGTTCTGCATGTTGGACGTGCCGATAGAATGTGTTAAGACATATGATACATGGTGACGCATATGGTAGAAAATATATTCTCAGTTTCTTTTGTTCCCCATTTTGATGTTTGATTAAGGGGAGAGATAAAGTAAAACGCATTTAAGTTTTAACTGATAGGATTTTTACGCTCTATTTCTATTTCCACTCTTTCTATAGCTGTATAACCGTAACACAAGCTAGTCATCGCAATTCATATGTTGCAGCACAGAAACCCTTCAACAAAATGATTGTGGTGTGTCATATTATTCTTACATGCATGTGTTGTTGAACTCCTCTCTTCAATATCTCTGGTCATAGTTATCCAGACTTCCTACAAACGTGAACAGTAAAAACAAGCAGAGACAAGTAGTTTCTGACTTGAACAAAATATCCACATAAGCAAATATTTTAACCTGCAGACCAGTACTAGGGTAGATCCTTTAATTTTCTGTGTAGAAATATTTAGTCAGGCTAACAGCCTGACACTTGGGTCAAGGATGAAAAGGAAAGAGAAGAGGAAGAGGAAGAACAAAAATAGATGCAGTGATAAAGTCCTACCATGTTCCTTTGTTGTTTAAACAGACGGAGTGGGAAGCAGCTTCATTTCCAATCTCTCCCTCTCAAGTCATCACGCCTCGAACAATGAATGTTTAAAGCCTCTGTTAAAAACTTAAAATTGAAACAGGACTACAGATTTTTGTCATCCATGCCCCCTTCTGCTTACATGATAGCAAACCCTTTGGCTAGTAAACAAAACTAAAAACGTGGAAGCGAACCGAACACTTGACAGTTCCTAGGAGGTTAACTTTACAGAAAATAGCATCTGTCTTCCATGTAGTTATGTTTCAAAGATTGAACATAAGTGTCAAACTGGATCTTTAGGATTCAAAAGCCAAAGAAACGGCATCCCTTAAAAGCCTGACTAAGCAACCATAAGAGCTGGATCACAAGGCACTGGGGTTTCCAAAGCACCTAGAGCAGACTATCTAGGCAGCTAGGTGATGCCTGTGTTAAAACTTAAAAGTGCTACTGTAGTAAATTGGTGCAAATCGATCAGATACTACTGCATATGAGCACCATTCTAGAGAAGATATTTAGCCAGTAGAGGGGTAGTGAAGAGCTTAAAATAGTAAATTCGGCAACTAGCTCAAAATGTTTTGAAATCCTCACATTTCAGAGTTGAATGTATGAAAAGATGGGACGATATCCATGAAATCAAGTGACAAAAAGGTATCCTGAGAATAACAATGTTGAGAACCCTTAAACAGTATGTTCTCACTTTAAAAATGTAGAATCAACTTGAAGTAATATGAACAAGGATGAATATCCAAGAGCTAAGCAGGGAAGCAACACAATAAACAAAAGTAAAAGGTGATATCACATAAAATTAGTGCTTTGCAGATATGAAGGACATGCATGAAAGTGTCCACAAGAGAAATGGATGAGCTGACAATGTGAGAGCAAACAGTTTTAGCTAAAACATATAGGTAACCATGTTTCATGCAGGAATGTTGCCAAATAATCAAGCTATTTTAAAGTAACATGTGCAATGTGCTGTTGGCCCTGAGGTATAGAAGAGTAATCTCCAAATCTCTCTACTGGGGGTGAGTTCACATGAATTACAAAAAAAATGTCTTTGATACCCTAAAAACATTGAATGTCCTAGTCTCTTAGATTATCCTTTGTATCAGTAAGGTTACCAGAACAAAAATGCAACTACACCAGCATGTAGTTGACAGCAAAGAGTGATTATGAAGCAGAACATACATCACCAAACCCCCTTTAGCTGCTAACGTGTGTGTGTGTATGTAAGCTTGTGAGATGGTTCCTGTCAGAAAAATCTAGCTGGACAAAACAATGTTTTGACATTGCCATTAATTTTATTATGAACTTAATGGAGTATTTCTGCTGAAAAGAATGTACGTGAACCATAACTCATATTATTGCACTTACATCATCGTAATTTTCACGGAAAAAATTGGAAGAATAAGTCAAAACATGGAGATAGCAAACTCAACCGTGATAAATGCTGTCAGAAGAAAATTAAATCAGTACCTTGCATTCACACTGAGAACTTTTTAGAGTGATGTTTAGCATGTCAAGGATAAGAAAGGATCTGCTCCCACAGCTGTTATCAATAGATTTACAAATGTTGCGTGAAATCTGCAAATTAGATGTTGAAGTTCAGCACAACACACCCAAACTTTTGGATGAGTATTTGGATAATGTAAAACATATAACAAGAATATCCAGAGAAATTGGGGAAAACAAAGTAAGGAAATTGCGGAAAAGAAAGTAAGCGGCTATTGCACCATACATTTTGGAAGCAGACGATTGAAGAAGACAGCAAGCACTCTGTCAAGCTCTTCTCGCAAAATTCCCGTACCAGACTACTATCATAAGAAATGCATTCACCAGCTAGGAAGAGTGCACATCTACAGAGAGCATTCACAAGCAGAGTGTGGTACTTTTCCGCTGAGTCTGTGTCTAAGACCCTACAAAATTGATATATTTCACATCAAAGCCTTTGTGCAATAAAATGAATGCCCCATACTCCATTCACAGTTATATATCCAAATAAGTGTATCCAACTATACATTAAAATCAAAACGAGTCAACAGATGGTCCAGATTATCATTCATGCTCAAAAGCATTCATAATATTATTCAAATATGTGAGATCAAGAATGCGATAAATTTTAACCTTAAACCAAATAATTCTTCAAAAACAACGAATAGTTATTTGCATCAAAAGATCCCTTAGAATCAATATAACAGTTTAATCTATCCAAACTTCAACAAACTATTGTCATTCTTCTACTTAATTCTTCTTATCTCTGATTGTCAAAGTCAGATAATAATCACATTATTCAGGAATTACTTCTCGTGCTTTTTATTAGGTATTCCTATCAACCTTGTAACTAAAAATTTGTGGAGGAATAATATGCAGAAAAGGGAAGGTTCCTGTCTAATTTCTGATATTGATGAAGGGGTAAGGACACTTATTTACAGTGGAAACTGTAGTTTAATTATGGAAGAATAATCACAACCGTTTTCAATAAATTTACAACAGTAGGCCCCCAATGTGTAGCATTAGGCTGCCTAATGTCAGTCCAGTCAATCTTAAGTAAATTTTCATGGTTTTGTTATTATATAATCATTGTAACAATAGCCAACGCATTGTTATCTGGTCCATAGACAAAGGTAGACTGTAGAGTAATTTCATAGTGTTCTTGTCTTTCACGTAATTACAACTATTAACCTCTTACTGAATTTCAAATTAACACCTTTGTGCTCTTGGCAAGCTCTCAATCTATGAATAAGAAAGAAACTAGATTCATACCTGATGCAAGGCAACACCTGCTCCACGAGCTGCAAACACCTCCTATAAACCCCTTCATCCTTTGCTCCTCGCTTGTACGCACATCCAATCAGGCAAGAAACGACCTTGGTAGCCAACTTCACAATCTCAGGATCCAACCCATCTCTCTTCTCAATCTTCAACCTCCCCATCAAGGAAACCCCCTCCTCTTCTGCCTCCTCGTACTTTCCCCAAGACTCCAAGCAGTAGATCAGCGCACCCCTCTCTGTATCTACAAAATTAGGGTTTCCGGCGAGACAAAGCGAGATACAGCTCAGACATTCGAGAACTAGGCGATAGATCTTGAGGAGCTCTGTGGCTCGTTCGACTTCCAATGGAGAATCTGAGCTAGGGTTTCGGCGAAGGAGATTGGGGATAAGCTTGAGTGATTTGGAGAGAAAGGGGAGAAATTTCTTGGCTAAGGGTCGGATGGAGGTAGGAGTGATCTGCGAACGTTTCTTCTTCTTCTTGTTAGGGATTTTGCCGGAATCGAAAGGGATAAAATCGGAGAAGGGGCTGAGGATGGAGAGAAATTGGGGAATTAGGGTTTTGGTATCGTGTTTGGGGAGAAAATGGGGGAAGACGAGAGAGAAATTGGGCGGGAGTTCCCGAAATTTGAGTGGATTTGGGTTCATCACAACGGGCCGGCCCAAATTAATCTTGTGCTACTATATGAATCGACTAAAAAGGGTAAATTAGACAAAACCCACCATTTAAATCCTTTGAACGGTTTCGAAAATAAATCCCTAAACTTTAAAGATGACACTTAGCTCCCCTTAAGTTTTGGGTGTTTCTAAAATTACGTTAGCATTCTCGGATTTATACCCTGGCAGTGAGCGCTTATGAAAATTTGATACACTGCACTTGGTATTTCTTATGCTCACACTGTGCACATGTTAGCCTTTGAAATACTCAATTTCAAACCCCACCTTCTATTTTGTCTAAGGCTCTAATTATGCTTATCTACATGATAAGAAATTGACAACCAACTCAAGTTTAACCCCACAAATCCTGAGGCGACTCATCACTTATTAAAGACAATTGAAAATATAATTCAGTTGCTTATACGCTAGACTCAAATGATTCAAGTTGACAAAAGTAACCATC